GAGCTAATAATCGTGAGTTAATGCTGTCAAGGTGATGGAGTCTTTGCAAGTTTTCCAAAGGTGATAAACCAAAATATCCGCGGGCAAATTATCAGCAGTTCTTTATCTATCTATCTATCTATCTATCTATCTATCTATCTACTTGATGCTGTTCATATCTATCTACTTGATACTGTTCACGTCTCGCTCTCTCTCTCTTTCTCTCTCTCAATATATATAATTATGTTTCTAACAATATATATATATATATATATATATATATATATATATATATATATATATATATAAAGTCAGCCTGATCCTATTTGTTCATGCTTATCTGTACAGTTCGCCCCTGATATAAACCTTTGCGAACAAGTTGACAATTATCATTCGCTGAATCCTTCTTGAATCTATCCACTTGATGCTATTCATTATCTATCTATCTATCTATCTATCTATCTATCATCTGGTTCATGCTGTTCTATCTCTCTCTCTCTATATATATATATATATATATAAATGTATGTATAATTCTGTTTCTAAGTATCTATATATTTAAGTCAGTCTGATCCTATTTGTCTGTTCATACTTATCTGTACACTTCGTCCCTGAGATAAACCTTTGTGAACAAGTTGGCAATTATCATTCGCTGAATCCTTCTTAGTCAAATTACTTCAAGTAGAAAATGTATCAGCTGTCTAAATTGGATTGAAATTGAGCCGGGCGTTGGCGTGCGCAAAGTGTGTGTGTGTGTGTGTATGTGTGTGTGTGTGAGAGAGAGAGAGAGAGAGAGAGAGAGAGAGAGAAAGTGTGTGTGTATGTGTGTGAGAGAGAGAGTGAGAAAGAGTTAAGTAAAATAGTGAGAGACGTAGATAACGAGTTAAAGAAAGTGAAGTTGCGAGAGCCGACGAGATTAAGGAGCTATATCTTTAGTCAGGTATTTGAACCACGAAGCTGGTTCTCATAGAGCGATCCGTTGTCAGCACAATCCTTCATTCAGAAATGTTGATAAACGTTAAGCTTTTTATGTTTTCCGATTTTATACTAATTTCTTTTTGAATGTGTTTTCTTATTACGAGTTGATTTTCTTTCGTTTGTAATTTCAGTGTAACAGTGACGGACTACTTTTTTATTTTTCAAAACTTTTGTTCTGTTCTTGTGTTTACTTCAGACATGTTTTGTCTGTAATTTTTTTATCTTCTAAGTTTCTTTTAACAACTTTTTCTGTTCGTATTTGTGATTTTAGAATTGGTTTTCATTTCTGTTCTTTTTTTTATTGTTTGAAGAGTAGAGAAATGTAACTGAAAAGTATTTAAGGAATTGCAAATGGCCGACACAGTTCGCCCCACTATTAAAAAAAATTTCTGGTGTGTTGCAAAAACAGACACTCTCCACTAAAAAAAAAGTGACCCTCAATATGGGTAGCAACTGAGAACCTATAAAGAAAAACTGCCCAAACAATGCGTCGACGAACGAACAAAAGAAGAAAAAACAAGAAAAGCAAGCAATCAGAAAAAAAATTCAAAAAACAGAAATGTGAAAAGAAAACGAAAAAAGACCATACTGTTGGCAGGAAAGTTTCCTTTTCATGCAAAACCCGCCAAAATGTCTAAATAGTGTTCTGATATTATACGGACCGAAAATCTGAATTCCTACTTACATTATTTACATTATTCAGACTGTTAGCCTCATCTTCATTACCATATTCACAACATTTCTCCTGTTGTACGCTCCAGCCTTCTTCAGGTGATCGAAATTTCGAACCGAACCCTTTTATTTCGTCCACCGGAGTAGATCGCTCTAATTCCTCAAGGACACATGGCCCAGTGGATAAAGACGTTGGTTATATCTAGTGATTAGGCGCAAAGAGTTGTGAGTTCAATACCAGGCCACAGCAGTGGTGAATCAAACTTGGAGAGTTGAGTTAAAGGGAAATAACTGAGACACCCGGAAGAGACATAGCATGTGGAACTAGAACAATCTACCCCGGTGGTCGAAATAAAGGGTTCGGTTCGAAATTCCAATCACTTGAAGAAGGCCGGAGCGCACAACGGCCGAAACGTTGTGAATATAGCAATGAAGATATGGATAACAGTCCGAACAATGTAAGTAATCATAATATCTCATCTCAGAGTTATAAACACATATCAGAAATATTTGCAACAGTTCTTTGACGCAAAGAAGACAAGTCGTACAATTTCCCAGACCTTTCTCCTTTTGTCTTGGAGAAGCTGATATGTCTACAGGGTATTTGCTATTCTGAAGGGTATATCTGATGCGAATCCATTTACTTTTCGTCTATGGTTTGGGTTGTCAATTTTGTACAGTGTTTTAGATTATCGTGCGATTTTCTTTTTTTTTTTACTCTCTAGCGCAGCGTTTCTCAACCGGGAAACCCGGATCCCTGAGTTTCCACAAAAGGTTCCCAAGAGTTCCGCGAGAACAGGTGAGATAAGATAATACACTTTTGTCTTTTTCTTTAATTTCATAAACGTAATATTACTAAACACCTATAATATATTCTTCGTTATTGTAATATTGTAATATAGGCGTCATCCTATCTAACCCATTATGTTATTAAAAATATAACAATCATTAAGAATATATTTAGTAATATTTGTACGACGCCAGTGTGAAACCACCTTCACTAGTCAGTGCCCACTCAGCGAACGGGACCTGTACTTAATGAAAGTAACGGTTTCTTATCCCATTTATTGGTTCACAGGACATTTTGCCTTGATTTACCTTATGAAATCCAACTCAAACTCGAGAATTCACTGGGCATTATCAGGCACTGGTAAAATTACCTGATGCTAAAAAAAGAAATCTATGTTCAATTTAACTACCGTATATTTCCGCATATAAGGCGATCTTTAAATCTTAAAAATTAACTCAAAAAAATAGGAGGATCGTCTAATACAACACTTACAAAAAGGTAACCTTAAATCCTGGGGTGTATCGGCACTGGTAAGTTGGCTAGTATGTTTGCGCTATTTTTACTATTGTTACATTAGAACAGCGTTTCTGAACCGGGGTTCCAAGGAACCCTGAGGTTCCAAGGAACCCTGAGGTTCCATTATCATTCGCTGAATCCTTCTTAGTCAAATTAATTCAAGTAGAAAATGTATCAGCTGTCTAAATTGGATTGAAATTGAGCCGGGTGTTGGCGTGCACAAAGTGTGTGTGTGTATGTGTGTGTGTGAGAGAGAGAGAGAGCGAGAGAGAAAGTGTGTGTGTGTGTGTGTGTGAGAGATAGAGAGCGACTGTGAGAGAGAGAGAGAGAGAGAGAGAGAGTAAAGTAAAATAGTGAGAGAAGTAGATAACGAGTTAAAGAAAGTGAAGTCGCGAGATCCGACGAGATTAAGGAGCTATATCTTTAGTCAGGTATTTGAACCACGAAGCTGGTTCTCATTGAGCGATCCGTTGTCAGCACAAGACTTCATTCAGAAATGTTGATAAACGTTAGGCTTTTTATGTTTTCCGATTTTATACTAATTTCTGTTTGACAAAAGGTCCTCAAGGGTTCCGCGAGAACAGGTGAGAACAGGTGAGATAAGCCAATGCACTTTTGACATTTCATTTAATTTCATATATGTAATATTACTAAACATATAATTTATTCTTGGTTAGTGATTCATTTTCTTAGCCCATTTATTGGTTCACAGGACATTTTGTCTTGATTTACCTTATGAAATCCGACTCAAACTCAAGAATTCACTGGGCATTATCAGGCACTGGTAAAATTACCTGATGCTAAAAAAAGAAATCTTTGTTCAATTTAACTGCCGTATATTTCCGCATATAAAGCGATCTTTAAATCTTAAAAATTAACTCAAAAAAATAGGAGGGTCGTCTAATACAACACTTACAAAAAGTTAACCTTAAATCCTGTGGTGTATCGGCACAGGTAAGTTGGCTAGTATGTTTGCGCTATTTTTACTATTGTTACATTAGAACAGCGTTTCTCAATCGGGGTTCCATTGAACCCTGAGGTTCCACAAAAGGTTCTCAAGGATTCCGCGAGAACAGGTGAGATAAGCTAATGCACTTTGACTTTTTATTTAATTTCATATATGTAAATTCTAAGCACACAATATATTTATTGGTTATATATTTATTGGTTTATATTGGTTATTGATTCATTTTCTTAGTCCATTTATTGGTGTACAGGACATTTTGCCTTGATTTGCCTTATGTCTTTTCGACATTGCCAGTAAATGATAAAAAAAAAACTCATGCAGTAATTATCTGTTTTCGTTCCGTTTACATTTATATTATATGATACTGTTTACTTTTGTTTAGTTTTTACGTTTGAGTTTAGAATTTTTTGTGTGAATGAAAACTGCCTGATAACGTATTATAAACGAACAGTATGAATTTTATTTCGCCTTACCGAAAAAAATTGATAAAGATGTATTAATTTTTCTTTAAACCAGTTATTCAAAAATATATACTATGATATTTATCACGTGAACTACGAGGAAATTAAAATGAGAAAGATATGGGGTATAATTTTGTTTTTGCGCAGGGATTCCTTGAGATGTTGTAATTTATTTTAAGGGTTGCGCAGGGGTAAAAAGGTTGAGAAACACCGTAGCTTGTCATTTGCAATTAGACCTGTCGGAACCCATCGCTCTCTAGGTCAAAACGCAGTCTTCCAACTTAAAGGCTCGCCTTGTCTGGGGATACGCGACCGTTGATTTGCATCGATGGTATCCTTCTATTTGGTCGTTGACTTCAGTCTAGGAAGCCATTCGCCCAGCGATGCTGTGTCATCACCGA